CGTTAGTTTTACACTCAAATCTGGTCATATTAATTTTCTGATTTGCATAATTAGTTTTCAGCTAAGTAATTTCGAATTATATTTAATGTGTCTCCAATACTCTCAGCACATGGGAGTTCTTTCTAAGCTTTCTTTGATTTTTTTTAGTTCTGCTGTCGACTTTGATGAGCGAAGCTTATCATATGAGTGATTGTCCATCGTCTGTGTCAACTTTTTACATTTTCAACTTCTTCTTGTAAACTACAATCTTTATTGCTTTGGTACTTGGTGTATATGTACCTTGGGCAGACCTCACTTAAATTCTGTTCATTTCGTGATGATATCTTTAATTCTCTAATTTTGATGAATACTTTTGGTAATAGTGATATTTTGACTTCTTCTTGAAAACTGCAAGTCCGATTGCTTTGATATTACATATATAGGTACTACATGTGGACCTCTCTCAGATTTATTCATTTCGTGATATCTGCAAATATCTAATTTTGATGAATATTTTTGTAATTTTTGGTGAAAAGTGATATTTTTGATTGAGACCTGTTGGCAATAGAAAATGATGTCCATTTTAAATTCTTGATTTCCTGTAGGTGCCAAGAAACGAACCTTAGAATCCAACATTAGAGATCATCATTCGATGTCTAGGCAGAAAGAGAAGACAACTAAAGATCCTAAACATGTCAGTAAATCAGGTCATCAGTCATCCAAAGACAGGTCACCACATTCCCAGCTCAGACCAATAGCTCCAAGCATTCCCCCAACTGTTGCTCAACAAATACCTGTTGTAGGTGTGTATGCTGGGAGTTCTGCTCCGTCCCCCATGGTACAGGGTAATATGCTGACTGTATTTAGAAATGGAGTTCTGCCAAATGAACCGTTTTCAGGTATGCATGATTTTTCCATTTTTTTGTTTGTTTTTTTGTTTTCTTCATAATAATTTGTTTTGTTTTGTTTTGGAATGATTACATGCGTAACCATCCTCTAATAATGAAAAACAAACATGGCTGCAACAAAGAAGTTTGCTGATTCTGTTCTGAACATTTTGGTTTTCAGCATTCCCATGATGTATCCCATGATTTGAAGGAAAATTTCTATAATAATAAGGTTATTACGAGGATGCCGCAAAATATGCACTCAGACAGTACGCTGTTGCATCAACCTCCGCTGCGCGTGGGTTGATACTCCCTCTGAACTTTCTTCGTGCATAGTTTTTGGTATCTGCATAATAACCTCATATTATTCACATTCGCCTTGGGCCGTAAACGGTAGTTTGGGTTTTTAAAAAAATAAAATGGGACCAAGAAATTGCCCAAGGCGATTTTTGGGCAGTTTTTTAATGTGTTATTTTAATCTTTCCTGATGCTTAAAAGTTTTACCGTCAAAACATGACGAATATTCATTTTTTACAACATCCAGCATTTAAAATACGACTGGAATCATTCACTTACGATGAAATAAGTTGAAATTTTCATAACAATTTAACAAAATCATTTTTTGCACATTATAATCACTACGAGGTAATAATCAACAATTGTTGAACACAGCATGAGAAGATTGCGGTACCGCGATCATTTGCTACAAAGCAATGCAGTTGTGTTTGATTTAATTTTTTTAGAATATAGTTTTGTTACTAATAAAATGAAAAAAAAAATAATTTGGCGCATGAGGTTCGTTAATGTGATTTTTTTTGAGAAAGATGTGCTGGGTGATATTGTCTACTTTTTAATCCAGCAAGAACAAATGTATAAAATTTTAGATTAGCTTCTGCAATAGTTTTTAGTCCCTGTTCTGACGGCGCAGTCCGAAAACAGGGACTTGTGTTTTGACCTTTGTGTGTCTGTGCTTGCGTCCGGACCGGTATCTTAGAATTGCCTGGACCAATCACAATCAAACTTCACATGATATTACAGATAGATTTTGTTCAAACTTGATACATACGTTGGACTTTATGGTACCTTGATGTACATCTTTTTATTTTTCAGACCCAAATTAAAATGGCTGACTGGCGGCCATTTTTGGCTCAATGGACCATAGGTCCGCTGAGCCTAAGGGATGGGTTTCTGTCCTGTGTCTGTCGTCCGTCTATCTATCTGTCTGTGCACAACTTCTTCTCAAAAACCGCCGAACCGTTTGACTCGAATTTTGGTGTGTGGATGCCTTGATGAGGGTAGACGGTAATTTGTTCATGAGAAGTCGATCTGCCAAAAATTCTGCAAATTAGCCCCCAAAACTCTAAAATTTCTTCTATGCTACTGTGGCGGTCTATAGTGAGAGCGCCATGGTGTTGGAATAACTTTGTTTATGAATAAGTCTGTGCGTCCCTGTGTCGGTCAGCATGGCGGTTTAGTGTGTCATGTTCGAATTGTTTCCGTCTGTGTGGGCAGGTCGATTCTCCTGTTAAATCGACCGAATTCCTTCCAAAGACTGAATTAAAGTGGTTATGGATGTTGTGGAACTCTTGGGACAGACGAAATGGTGTTTGCGTGAAATTTAGTGACTGGTAGAAGTCTTTTCCGAAAGTTGTGGTTGTGTGGATCGGCCGCAGAGGTTGCAGTCTGCTGTTGCCATTGTATTGAACAAAACCGTGGTTGAACCAAGTATCCAGGTTCCTGTGAGTACAATCGTTGACATTTTGAGTTCTGTACGCCAGTATTAACTGTTTCCAGTAGATCGACTCGGCCAATTATGTTGTCCTGTCGAGATTTCAACTAAAGTGAAGACTGTTCTTCGTTGTGGAAAAGTCCCGCCATTCGGATCACGTGACTTTCTGGTGTCGACAACCAGTCGAACTTGTTTACCATCTAAGACATCTACCAAACTTTGATTCGTGTGACATTCAGCATCAAGTAGAAAGTGCATAAATTGACTGTGACATTTTACTGTTGTGCATTTCCCGGATAAGTTGTGATAAAACGTATTATTTTCTATAACGTTAGTCTGCATTTACGGTAGTGTAATTCGCCTGCACTGGCATTGCGTAACCTTATCAAGCCAGTGTGTAGTTTGCATTTTGCATGATATTTCCTTACCGATAATTATTTTGTGTCATATACATTTATTTAGTCCAGAGTACTTTACCTGGATTGCGTATTTTACTATACATACATATTGTGACTACCATTCTGGTGAGTGATATTACTGAATACTTACCTTAAATTGTGTCATTTTGGTATTCACTGAAACCAAACTATTTCTGAGGTATCCTATTGTTGTTATAGTTGATACTTGTAGTGTTACATGCATAATTTTGAACTTTTTGTATTTTGGATGTCTTTAGTATTTAGTAGTTGAACTCAAGCGTTATTTTATTATTGAATACATAACTATTTTCTGTTGATATAAACCTGTGAATATACTATTTCAGTAATCGTGTAGAAATTATTTGTACTTCCCTACTGTTACGGCATTGTAGATGACTGCATTGATTGTGTATTATTTGAGCACACAAGTTGCATTACGATAGTCTTAGTATTTTACAGTTAAGCTAATGTATACTGTTGTATTTAGTACGTCTTTGTTACCGTAAGACTAGATAAGTAATCTTTTCAATTATAGTAACTTAAAGTATTTTCCTTTCATTTTACCAAGTACCTGTATTTAATATCCGAGTGCTAATCTCTGTTGTTACTAGCATATACTTCTATGTATCTAGTGAATACTCAGGCATTCGCAGCCTTAGTACCTATTACATAGTATCTATCAGCACTTAGTGTTTCTAGTTAGTAAATACTGTATTGTGTATGTGATAGCCATTTGTATTGAGTAAGTTAGGATTACTGCGTATGCCATACATTCTCTTCAGTACTCTGTACTGATGTGTTGGCCTATATGGTTGTAGCAGTTAGTGGCACTATACAGTACTGTGCATAGATATTCCTGTTAGTCATTATAGTAACCACGTAATGTGAAGTATCTTGTAATACATTTTGATAGCACATTACAGAACTTGTAATTGTATTTTCTACTTTTTATTGAGATTTTTGTTGAGAAATAACTGCGTTACGTGATACATTACTACATGTATGTATTAAAAATGGAATTTCAACTAACCACTATTTCCAATGCTTTGGTGTTAGGCATACATGTGTTTATTATTCCATTGACAACTTTGTGTGGTTGTTTGGCGATATTTCATTTAAAAGTACAAATTTAAACGAAAAGTTGTGGCATATACAGCACTAATCTTTTGTACAATAGCTGTTGAGCAACAGGCCATTGGCCAATTTTTTTTTAATGAATGCAGTTCTAGTGCCATATCTCTGCCATGCTTTGACTGATTATGTTCAAATTTTATATATTCATTATACATCATGACATATATATATATTCTGTCTATCTGATTCAAAATGGCCAAATGGCAGCCATTTTTGTGCTAAAAATCATCAAATCAAGCACTTTTGGCATTCCAGATCTGGATCTTGATGCAGTCCGAAAACGGGGACTTTTGTTTTCACCTCCGTGTGTCTGTGCGTACGTCCGGACCTGTATCTTAGAAATGCCTGGACCAATCACAATCAAACTTCACACATACATCATACATGATATTATACATATGTACGTCAATTTGTTTCACGATCTGATTCAAGATGGCCGAATGGCGGCCATTTTTGTGCTACAAATCATCAAAATCAATCATTTCTCGACCGTTTACAGATGGATTTTGTTCAAACTTGGTATACACATTAGACATTATAGGACCTTGATGCACATAATTTTGTTTTTCAGATAATATTCAAAATGGCCGACTGGCGGTCATTTTGTATTAATGAATGTAGTTCTCGTGCCAAATCTCTGACTTGCTTTCACTGATTATGTTCAAATTTTAAATATTCATTATACATCATGTCATATATTGGTTTGACGATCCTATTCAAAATGGCCAAATGGTGGCCTTTTTTGTGCTAAACAATCATCAAATATCAAGCATTTATGGATGGATTTCGTTCAAACTTGGTACATATATTAGACATTACAGGTTCCTGATGCACATCATTTATTTTTCAGATTGGATTCAAAATGGCTGTCTGGCGGTCATTTTGTTTTAATGAATGGGCTTCTAGACCCATATCTGCGACTTGTTTTGACTGATAATATTTTCAAATTTTAAATATTCATTATACATCATGTCATAGATAAACAGATATATTGGTTTGACTATCCTATTCAAAATGGCCGAATGGTGGTAATTTTTGTGCTAAAAAAATCATCAAAGACATTACGGGTTCCTGATGCTCGTCATTGTATTTTTCAGATTGGATTCAAAATGGCTGAATGGCGGCCATTTTGTTTTAATGATTGGGCTTCTAGAGCCATATCTCTTAAATGCTTTGACTTATTATATTTAAATTTTATATATTTGTTATATATCACGTTATATATATATATATATGTATTCAAAATGGCTGATTTTGAATGCTGTTCCAGAGCAATATCTCTCAATATGGACAAGTACTTGTTTGACGATTAGATACAAATGTCAATCATTTTAATGTTAAAAAATCATATTCCTGACATGGTTATATTCCAGCTATATTACTATAAACAAAACTATATATCTTAAATTTGATAACTAACGGGGACTGTGACATGCATGGCTTGTATTTTTCAGATCGGAATTCAAAATGGCTGACTGACGGCCATTTTGCCTAAATGAATGCGCTTCTAGAGCCATACATTTGTATCTCTGATATGCTTTTGACTGTTCTTAACTAAACCTGATGTTTGTTCTTCACAGATGATCAACTTCCTGAGAAGCAGATACTGTGTGCATGGTGTCAAAACTTTGGCATGAAGAGGTATACCCTGAACACAAGCACTGAATCAAAGGCATTCTGCAGTGAGAAATGTTTTGCTGCATGTCGGCGGGCGTACTTCAAGAGAAATAAAGTGTGTGACTGGTGTAAGCATGTACGTCACACGAAAGAATACTTGGATTATGGAAATGGAGAACGACGACTTCAGTTCTGTAGTATGAAATGTCTGAACCAGTACAAAATGGACATCTTCTGTAAAGAAACACAAGCTGCTCTGCCGCAAGCTGGCCAACTGTCGAAGGGATCCTCGGCTTCTGCAACCCTGCCAATGAGTACCTCAAGAATTGTACCAGTTACTCCCAATGGTAACCCACAAATAATTACCCCTGAATCTTGGTGCAAGTCTGGTGAGGCAGACAAAGTATTGGTCAATGTTGGACGAAATGAAACAAATAAAACTGATATTTCAAACAATGAACAAGTGCAAAGAACAGAGACTGTTATACATTCTAGCTCCCTGAGTCATCATAGTGGTGGAGCATTGACAGAGTCACCTCCGTCTACAGTACCACCAATGTTACATGAACAACCTGTGTTGAGACCTCCAATCATGACACAAGGTCCTCCCCATACTCCGCATATGGTAGCATCTTCTCCACAGGGAGGAATGACAGGTCATCAAACACCTATCAATCCCAGACCACCTCATTCACATCCAAACCTGTTTCGGTATCCACACCCACCTAGGTTTTCCGGTCCACCATATCCACAATTCCAGCCATCCCCGATCCCAGGACAACCTCCACCTGGAGTCTCCCATATGAATTCCTCTCCTTTTAATCTGCCACCAGTGACAGTCTTTGTGCCATATCCTGTTCCCTTTCCCGTCCCTATTCCCATACCAATTCCAATTCCAATTCCCATGAATCAGACTGAGAACAATGAGAATTGTGAAACAGAAGATCGCAAAACTGCAAAAAATCAAGAGAAATTTGCCAGGACCAGTCAAGATGAGCATGGGAAAAAGTTTGATAGTAATGTTCCTGGTGTAATCAACAGCGAGACTTCTTCTTGGTTAGAAACCTTAGTGAAAAGTTGTAAAAAGAAAGTAGTTAAACAACCAGAGAGTTTCAAATCTGTCATTTCTAGCCAATCAACAGAGGTTATTGAAATCTCTGATGATGATTCATCAGGAAACAGTAACAGACTATCAGATGTTGAGGAAAAAATTGACAAACCAACTATGTTAGAGAAAAGTGATAACAAATTGTCAGATGTTAAAGAAAGAAATGGCAAACAAACTATGTTGAAGAACAGTGATAAAATATTCTCAGATGTTGAGAAAAGAAATGACAATCCATCTATGCCAGAGAACAGTGATAACAAATTGTCAGATGTTGAGGAAAGAAATGACAAGTCAACGGTTTTGGACAACAGTGATAATTGTGTGTCAGACTTTGAGAAAAAAAAAGACAAACAAACTGTGTTGGAGAACAGTGATAACAAAATATCATATGTTGAGGAAAGAAATGACAAACTACTTAGTGATGTAAACAGGAGCAGAGACATTCCATATGATGAAAGGCCTTGGGACCATGCCTCTACAGAAGAAAAACAACACTTGTCCGAGGAGCAAAAAACATACAACCAATCAAATGTGAAGCCATCACGTGACAAATGTGAACAGAGCAGCTCACTTTTGTACTCTGAAAGTAGTATGCCTAGAAAATCCAACCTTGGAACTCTCAAATTGAACCCTGATGGAAAAACTGCCAGTGACATGGAGGATTTTGACATATCTATTGCAGCTGGTTTAAAACTTGATGAGATGAGTGAGGAGGTGTCATCTGTGAAACAAAATGATGTAGAGGATGTGACTGCAGGTGATGGAGATGACACAGAGGAACGAGAGGCAAGTAAAAGAGTGAATTGTGAGCATGCATATGCTGCCTCTCCTGTAGAGGAACTGGCAGATGAAAAAATAGATTTAGAGAAAATAGCAACATCGATAAACACTCAGCGAATAGTGAATGAACATGCATATAATGCTCCATCAAATGCATTGAAAGCTGTAAATCAAAGAACTGCAACAAGCGCACAGAAACAACTGGAAAGCAAAATAAGTACACAGAAGCGTGTTGTAACACCAATCAGTAAATCTACTGAGTCAACTCCCACCAGTACGCAGAGAGTTGTTGGTGAACATGCATATGCTCTGAGAAGGAGTGGTCGCATTGCTGGTGATCATACTACAGGGGGAGTGTCAGCAAAAGGCGAAAAAGCTGCATCAATGCACGATTTGTCCTCTTCCGAACCAGCCATTAAGCGAAGATGTTTACGCAGCCGAAGCAAAAATCATTGATAGTTTTTAGCCACCTGACATTAAGTGATCTAAATTTCAAGCAATGATTAGACTGTCGTTGAACTACAATGTAATTGGACAGTTAATACTGTGGAAAAATCATGCCGGAGAACTCCTGAAAAATTGACAAAATTAGAACAAAACATTCTAGTTGAATTATTTATAGTTGTGTTTTTATCACAGAATTCATTAATTTTTTGCTGTAAATTTCAAGTTATTCTCTTTTTAAGATATTTCAACTTTTCTTACAGTTCTCATGTTCTTCTTAATTGTATGTGATGTTTCTATGTAAAGTGTATATTCTGTGCAAAGTATATTTTAAAGCGTGTCTTGTGCATTACCCAGTTTGTTAATAAGTATTACTTTCTTCCATGCTACCTGCAAATATAGTTGGTACCTTTTGTACAATAAAGGAGTGGGGTTGCAGGTCCTCCCAAAAATGATTTTCTCATTTGGAAATAGAGGCACGTGTTGGCCAAAGAAACATGTCTGACGGTATTTTACATGGGACACCATATTGTTTCATAAACATATTGCAAAACAGTCAGCATTTGAGGCCATCAACTACTCATGGGGAATTTGGCTAAGTGTGTCGTTTTAATAGCAACAAACTGTAAATAAATGTTGTCATTACAGTTGTTAATTATAATGCTGAAGTATGTAGTGAACGAAATAAATGTGTCTGCCGACACTACGTTCCCATGTGTAAATTGTATGTTCCGCTTGCCAGCCCTTCACATACATGTAGGTGCTTTCTCCAGCACATTTAAATTCTTTGTAGTTCAATGGGAGGCACCTTCCAGTATCTTTTATCTCCTTTTATTCCACTCCAGGAACTGCTAGCAACAGCAATACGCAATGCCAAATTCAGAATTTGATAATGTTATCCGATAACCATTTACTGTGATAGATTACTTGTAAGTGGTACATCTTAGCGCTTCATGTGGGTTGTATAAACCGTTTCTGATTTGAGAGTTAAAGTGGTAAGGGTAGCATCAAACCATTCATCAATACACTGTGTTAACATCCGCTGATAAACATTCATGTACCTTGAATAATAACATAATGATTTGTATATGTGTTCACAAAACTTTTCGTGTTTTCTTCTTTTTTATTCTTACTTACGCCCCTTTGTTTGATCCAGTGTGTGGAAATCTGACACCAAAGTTGAAAATACATACACCCGAACTGTTTACTGACTGTTTTGCAATGTAAATTTAAGAACTATTATGGTACCCTGTGTAAGTAAACAAAGCTTACTGATCCATTTATATGAACATAATTGTCAGTCAAGTTTGTTTATGAAAGCGAATGTACTTCTAATGAAGCAAATAGAATAATGGTCTGCTTGTACCAACTTCTAAACCAATATTGTTTGTTTGAGATCATCTAGGACCAGTGAAAAATACCCTTTGCCATGGACATGACTTTCATCTAATATTCATAATTTATATAGTTATATAGCAAAAAATGCATGAAGGCATTACGGTGATCTGAGGTTGATGTGCTACCGTACTCCAAGTTTGCTGTATCCTAGCAATAACCTTATCATAAACCCTTCCCCTGCTTGTAATAATAATTTAATGGGTGATAACAACCCAGAATTGTGACAGAACACTGTGCAAACATTTGGATCCAGTGACAGGATTCTATTTCCATCACCTTCTGATAGCGGCTGTGTGCGTGTCTGAATGAATGAAGTATACAAATATGACATTAACATGACGCACAATTTCCAAATAAGGAACATCACGTTTTATGGACAGGTAAATTCTATTTTTTCGGTGTCAGATGTATAATTTTTTACATTGCCCTCGTATACTCAATGGGAACTGATTGAATAATCCTTTGATGTCTATTTCCCAAACAACTGCATTGACAAGTGGGATAGTAGTTCCATTGACCCCCTATATCAAAATCTGACATGTACAGAATAGTTGTATGCTGATAAAAGGC